TGGGGACAATCGAATATATTTGACACGAAATTACAGGACTTGTTAATAAAATCTAACAATCATAAACTAAATGCTTAATTTGCAAAATGTCCACCAATTGTCTCAAAGTGACCCAGACTTCATTGTTCTTGCATGTTCATACAAATTACATCCTGTTTCCATTCTTTACTGTTCGATCCTCTTGTCTCTTTGCTGCTGCCAGACCTTCAGTTCACGACTGACATCATCTACTGCTTATGTCAATATAAGTAGCACACACCACAATAATACCTCAAATTGTGCTTACTTAATGAAAAATACCATCTACAAATTAAATTATACCATACAAGAGCCTTTTATTTTAGTTTTTGCCAATTATTTCTTCTAATATTATTCTTATGTTACTTTGACAGGTGTAAAACTTATTAATTCCAACGATGATCTAGGCCAAAATTACAATACACCTGAACAAGTAAAGAAACGTTTTACAACGACATCCTCATCATCTATTGTAATGATTGTTGGCAGAGGAATAACTGAATCAGAGAATATTCGTCAAGAAGCTGTGAATTATCGTTTAGCATCCATCCAATAAATTCAATGGGTATATACATTTATGTATAATAAGTTAAATGACTTCTCTTTTGAATCATCTTATGATTATACAATATGAGTTTTGGTTACTTTTCTAAATTAAAATACACAAATTTCCAAACACAATAAAAGTTTTAAATATTCACGACATAATTTCATATAAAGTAATTAAATGGAAGTCCTACTCACTGCCTTCTCGTGCCGGGGGTATTGTTTACGAAAATGAGAGGATGAAAGGCTAATGTCCGGCGCTTTAACCGGATTCCAAACCAATGGTGCACATGGGCTCCAGTATCCTGCGGGAACAAATGGGTTGTGAACAAATTGTTGGTCACCGGCTCCCATGTGACCGCATCTCCTTACGATGCTCCACTGCTTTGTGGATCAGACCTTCAGGTCGAAGGCTAGGGGCGTAGCCCCCTAAGAAAGCCACCTGTTTCGACTTGGGCACCCGGGCAGTATCACAGCCCTCACACATATCGAATGAGATTTGTGTGGCGCATATCTATTTGGTACCTCCTTGTACCAATATCTATGTGTTAAAATAAATAAAATAAATCCAATGGAATTCAATCTACAGGAAACATGGATAAATAGGATGTTACGTTATTTTATTTTGGATAAGGGTTTACTTTTGCCGATGATATAACGAATGGTTTGAAACATTTCTTTTCTGTCTCTCTCTCGAGTCTACTACGACAATACGTTATGACGATAATGAGACTAGTCATATTGTAGTGAACGAACACTCAGGTGGAGAAGACCAGGTTATTGTTAACTTCACAATCACACAGTGGTTTAGTCAAAAGTGAAAATGACACATCAAATACATCATTTGCACGACACTGAATTTTCTCTTACATGCCTCATTGTTCCTTCATTTCTGTTATCTTGATTACTTTCAGTTTCCTACTTCTCTTCGTTTTAATTTTCTCAACCTTCTACTCGAAGACATTCCTCTTCCGAATGATGTTACATACTACTTGTATCTACAAACATAGGTATCATACACCACAACTTTATATCAGATCCAGGATTCACGACTTAGAATAGAGAACCAGATTAATACAAGATAATACGTTACTCGATACAGTTAGGAGCAGTTACACTCAGTGAGTTCGGAGTAGAAATCAATGTGAGGAAAAGAAATACAATATTTAATAGTCAATAAGCTAAGTGCCTGTTTGTTCACACTCCGTGACCAATCATATCTTACTCTCACTACCACATACCAAAGGATTTTAAATACTTGATTCAGTGATTTGAAAAGATTGGCTCAGGAATCACAGTAGAACTTTTCCCAAATCGGCGATTTCAGTAGGATGACAAAAACCGCGCTTATATTGTATTTGTGAGTGGATTGTACGAAAAAACATGGTCAATACTGTTAGACTATGGCTATAAACCTGCTTTGTTTATATATTTTAAAAGTGTGCGACAAGATATTGCTTTGATCACTTGTTATCCTATCAATAATTTACTTTTACTTGCTCCAGTCATATATATAGTGGAATAACTGAAAAGTTTTTAAACGTTTTTTTGTCTATCAGAACTTATACTGTTACTGTCTGTCATCTATGTAATAAGATTCACTGTTTCTCTCCTGAATCATGTTTCTGATGTCCAGTTATCCTATAACCTGATCTAACATAGACACAAGTCTTTTTGGTTATTAGCTAGTTTATTACTCGGTATTTCACAAACAAACTAAGGGTGGTTGTATTATTCTGAAATAATTAGTGACTAAAATACCTATAATTTCGTCGTTGGTAATAAACTCAATCGACGAATATTCTATTCGTGAAGACATGGGAATGATGCGTTATTATCAAGCAGTAAGTGATTTTACTACATAACTAGTGTTATCATGATGAAACACAGCAATTGTTTCATAGTGAGCCGGTGTTCCATTATGGTATAGTTAGGTTAAGTTGAGCTCCCTGTCGCATATGTTACTTAAAGTTCTATTATGTTCTACTGTATGGAGCTGAAACTTGGAGAACTACTACAACCATCATAAAAAATGTACAAGTATTTATAAACAATTGTCTACGCAAGATATTCAACATTCATTGGCCGGATACTATCAGCAACAGCCTACTGTGGAAAATAATAAACCAGCTTCCAAGTGAAGAGGAAGTTAGAAAAAGACGATGGAAGTGGATAGGACACACATTGAGGTACTCATCAAACTGCATCACTAAACGCTAACTTTGAACCGTTGAGGGAAACGAAAAACAGGAATGCCAAAGAACACACTGTGTCGAGAGTTGGAAGCAGATATGAAAAAGATGAATAGCAACTGGAAAGGTTTATCAAGGACACAGTAGGATGGAGAATCCTGGTGAGCGGCCTATGCTTCTCTATGAGGGGTAACAGGCGTAAGTAATGTTCGTAAAGCGGATTACCTTTAGCTAATCCGCGATTCGGAGTATCTTTATTTTGCCATAGGTCACCAAGATGACGTTAAAATCGTTTCGGGCCCGACCAATTCATCTGACTAGCCAAGACAATCAAGTATCTAGCACCGTTTACTCATTTTTCATGAAACAATCTGTTATCTTTCTTTAACTGACACGTTAGTCTCTTTTACTGAGTCTTCACCTAATTCTTATCTCTAATTGAGTGCTTTGGTCGGGTTAAGGAAATCTATCAGTTTAAGGATATGTATGCTTGATGAGAACGAAGGTTATCAAGAAGATTTATAAATAGGCGAGAAGTGGAAATTAATAACAACTGCACTGAGTTGAAGTTAGAGATGCGTTGCAGCAAGAGAATGAAAAGAAAGTGATTTTGATAAAGAACCCGAATAAATATTTGCTTCGATATGCTCTACCACACCTGTGCTGTATTGAAGTAAATAGTCACCATAACAAGTGTACCATATGAGAGCCAACTGCGCGATTGGTTGATTGACATTTTGCAAATGAAGGATTTACTGTATAGTTCTCAGATTCTACTAAAAGATTCTGTAATTTCGTGTTGTCTGCACCTATGTTCTCGTTCACTACAAAATGACTTCAAACCATGTTAATCTTTGTGTTCAATATTTCGTGTATAAGCATGTAACTTTACTAAAAGGATCAAATTCTACTGAGTAGTTATTTTCTGATTTCAATTGATTTGTAGTGGATGAGTTATAACAACAATTAGGTTTCATAAATATACACTACTCGACCACTTTGTATCAATGCATATAATCATCTATTGACTAGTAACAGGTTTTGCTAAACAGATTAAAGGTTATCCAGTTTTTGCAAATAAATATTAATTTTCTTTTCTGTAACGAGAACTCAGAGGAAAGTCCCCTGAATCGTACATTTGAATGACATTTTCCAATTTTAGTTTATTATTTTTTTCGGTCTCATGGTTAGATTTAGTTGCCATATAAAAAGTACTACCACTTTGATTTTATTTCCATTGAATACCAATTTTCTTCCTACATAGCTCACTTCTTTTTCGAGTTGCATTATTGGGAGTTATTGTTAGGATAGTCGGAAAAATATACCAATAATTATCGTGTTAAGTCTACGGTGGCCTTGGACCTTAAATGTACATTTCCTATTGGTCGATGTTTACTTCACTTGTTAAATATTGTGTAAATGTTGTTTTCTATCTTATGGTACGATGTGGTTTGTTTGTTTGGTATATAAATAGAGTATGTCTGAAATACAATGATTCATAACTCAGAGGCTGTGACTTGTGTTCTGGACTCAACTGGCTGGGCTAGACAGAGGAGCGGGACCAATCGGGACTCTAGGTCGTTCGCTACGTGTTTTACGTGTCACTGTAATCGATCGATATAAACGCTGCTTATCAAACCCTGCAGTCCACCCGTTACAACAGTTATATAGTTCAGTTGCCACCTTTTCAAGGTCGTTTGTAAATAGCAATTTCTGTAGGTGGAACCAAACCAAATATCAAGATACAACAGGTTAATTAATTTACTAACTGATTCAAAAGATACTTATTCATTAGACACTAATTTATAACACATGTTATTAATCTTATTATGTTAAACAGAGAAAATAATTCATGTCAATATATATCAGGATGGGTATTCGTGGACATTGTAGTAATTTTAATAGTTGAATTCATGAGACGATTTAAGCTAGATCACCACTAAAAACCCTGAAGCACTGGAAGGCTTTTTCGTCCTAGTATAGGACTCCTCAACAGTGCACATGTACAATCCCTCACGTGAGGACATTCGAACTCAGGACGTTTGGTCTTGCGGGTGAACGCTTAATTTCAAGACCACTAAACATACTGCTGAAAAGTCCAATACTAGAATGAAACGGCGGTCGAATACTTTCAAGTTTTCAATGATGATCTAGCTTAAATCGGCTCATGAATTCAACTATTAAAACTAACATATCAAAACATAATACGACCAGTTTATTTGATAATAAATCAACAAGTTATTTCATCATTTCAATTTATTTATTGTTTTATATCATGATCAGTAATAAATTAAACCATAAAACCGAAAAATAAACATTACAGATAAGTAAAATATCTTATTAAAAATAACTGAAAACAGTGAAGAAGAAGAAGAAGAAACAAAGAATAATGAAATATCAGGATGATGAATACTTCTCTCCTTGGATATAATCATATGAATATGCATATATATATATATATCTTCAATACACATTACATATCTCACCATAGGATACAAGAAACACATTCAAATAAGTCTAGAAACCCCCCTTCCCCCCCCAAAAAAAGAAAAAAAACACTAACATTAAATAAACAAATGATACCACCCATTAATTCATTATTTTTAAACTCTTAACAAATATGAATGTAAATGTTGTAGATCTTGTTTTGTCATAGAAATTTTTGCTGTATTCATAGTTTCACAATTATCATCAATAGTAGTAGTAGTAGTAGTCGTAGTAGTACTACCACCAGGAAATAATAAACGATAATGTAATGATGTAGTTTCATTAATATTTGATAAATTTAATAATTGTTTCATTTTCACTGATGGAAATGATGTGAAATCTGCTTGAATTAATGTATTTGGTATTTCAGTTTTAATTGCATCAAATGCACGTTGTTGTAACTAGGAGTAGTATTATGAGGGAAAAAAGTAGAATTGAAAAAAAGATCAATCAATACAGTGGAGGAAGTTATGATAACTAAAAAAAGGCATAACAATCCGGTGTGTAATGCTGAAGTTACGTGTCAAGTAAAATCAAACGCAACAAAAGAATTCCTAGCATTGTTAATAGTGTACATAAGAGTGGTTGTCAGTTCCTCGTAATCATCATCGTGAGAGTATTTCGTTTTGAGAGATCTGAGAATGAAACGGGATTAGTAATGGTCGTAGCAACTTGGAAGCGTGACTACAGAGTCTAGGAGATAACAGCTTGATGGCGTTAATACACGGCTTTTCTGTGAAAAGTTTATAATGTGTTAGATTCGTGGTTCAAAATGCCTTACTATTCGAGACGAAAATCTGTGGAGTAAGGTGTGACTTTACAGTTCTAGGGCCGCACCTTTCTTAACTTCTCTCTTCTACTGAAAGGGCGACAGCACTGCAGACCCTGGTTGCCTCGAAGGAAACACCTTACTGTTGTTAAACCACTCTATAATCAGCAGTATGACTCCGCTTTCTGCTCATGAGCTGGCTGCTTTTAGTCTTACCGTTCCCGAAATGACCTGGATGGCATAGTAAAACCTAAAGGAACAATTACTTTAGCTAGCTCGATCGAGTCACTACGATGGGGAAGCTTGAGCACTACATCAAGTTAGCACCTAAGGTCGGTTGGGTGTAGGGTACTGTTGAATATATATGGTAAAATGACTGATAAGAAAAATCCTAATCGGGTATTGTCACAGACCCTCAACCGCTACCCGATACGATACTCCATGTTAGCTGGGGGATGGAAGAAGGCTGAGCAATACTGTAAGTAGCCATACCGTGTCGTTATTACGTGTATTCATTGAATCCAGCAATGTTGGAATGTGCGAATTTACTAGTTAGATTTATGTATTGCGCAAAATAATTTAAAAGCGTTGGTTGAATTTAATTGCCAATGTTCGTGATATACCGATAGATATTATAGCAATCTGGGGCTAAGAAATGCAAATTCTTGCATTTTCCTTCAACTTATACAACTATTGTTTGATAGCTGGTGATTATCAGTTACCTAAATCTAAGTTGAAGGAAAAAATTCAAAATCACGACTAAATGGCTGAAAACAGAGCGGCTTACCACTACTCTACTACAACATAAACGCAATTGGGTGTTATTATGATATTTTGAAAGCTACTTACCTGCCATCTTTTGAGATCACGATTTATGGAGTCGTAAGAAAATAATGGGTGTCAGTTTAACACAGTTATTCATTTCTGGATTGGTCTCTTGAATATTTACACTGATGTTTAGGACTGCAAATGGTCAGCTTTTTATTGGCATACATGCATCTTGTGCGGATTGCCTCGAACTTACCTTAAGTCACAAACATTATAAACAGAGATGGATGGTGGCTAACACAGGAATCCAGGTCGTGGTACTAGGTTCGAGTCCCAGGGTGAGCTGACGAATCTAAAATAGGACGAAGAACGCGTCCTGGGTTTTTCGGCTAGCCATTATCCATTTAACACAGTTATGTTTTAATTAGTGGGTTATTAAAATAGAAAATCACGAAACTAACAATGTATACCAAACAATAATGAAGCAAACTTTCGCATAATTTAAGCTAAACATGTGATTCATCCTATATACAGGGTAAAGCTACAAAAAAAAACACATGAGATAGTTATGACAGTATATTTTGGGGTTTATACTCGGAAATCGTTTTCAGTATAATGAGTAAATGGTCACTAATAACGGATTTGTCCTGAATCGATTTAACTTAAACTTCCATTCATTTTTATTAGTATCTTCTAGGTTAATTGACAGAAAGATTACAGTAGACCTAATTTTGTGTCATTTCACTACTTTAAGACATAAAGTAGCTCATAAAGGTTTAATGCATGTATATTTTAACCATAAATCAACTATTTGTAATGAAAAGAAATAACAGTAGTATTTTACGTTTAACGAAATAGATTACAGTTGAAGTATACGGGTATAGAAATATATTACCTTTTCTAATTCATTTTTCAATTTGACTAATTTCACTGTTTGTCTATTAAACTGAATTGTAGCACTGGGTTGAACAACTTTAACCGGTTGTATAGTAGAAGTTGATCCATCATCTCCAGAATCTGAAATAGGCATCTCTGAAACTTGTTTTGACAATAATTTAGGCAAACGAACAACTTGAGGATTTGCAAGTACAGAGAAAATTTCTTTTCGTAGTACATTTGCATCATGGACAATTTGTGGTAGGACAGATTTGTGTTCTTGCATAGGTGAGGATGATTTATTCTCTTTATCAGAAGTGTCATCATCTACAATAATAGGCTCTTGACGACGTGAAGGTTTTTGTAAAGAACCCAAGCTCTTAAGTTGTTCCTAGATTTTTAAAAATTAAAAGTGAGTCAGTAAAAAGTGATGGATTATAAATGACAAATGAAAAACTAGCTTAAGTGTTGTTTCATTAATTAGAGGTTAGACGAGCTATGTTATCAACAGGAAGACGTAATTCAAGAAATGAAGACGATTTTTGAATAATCCATAGTGTCACTCACTGACCAAGTACCAATTCATGAAATCTACCATTTGAACTACGTTATTTACATGATACGATGTAGCATTCCAGACCGATTTAAGTAGAACGGGTTTCAAACCTATGGTTTGCGGGTTGAAAGCCAATTAGTGTAAAATTTCTTTCAAATTCTTTGAATTCAAGTTTGGAATCTCCAATTTGGATTATAAGGCATTCAAGTGAACCAATGACGCGAATCCCAGATCAACCTCCACAAGCCACGCATCAGTTTCATGAGAACTACTGACCTTTTCAGTTACAGTATACAAGCTCTTCAGGTGTTGGATAGTTACGAATAAAATCGTGTGATATATTCATTTGAAAGAGGGAAAATGAATTAACATGTATTCGATGTTAAGATGGTTCCAATAGGAAAAAAGAACAAAAACTTGATTTGCAATAAAACTGAAGAATGTATTGAGCGAAGTTTCTAAAGAAGGATCCCATATCATTTCTTTAGGGGGAGGTGATATGATGTTACAAGATTAAGATTGACAGTTTTGATTGGTAGGACAATGAGTGACCTAAAAGCTAATTTCCTTCAACTGCCTTTGGCATTTTACAATGTTCATTTGGTTTTCATATTCTGTATATAAGTATGTTATTTGGGGACCTAAGTCAACAAAATAATCTCCTAAGTAACCGTCAATCGGCTTCATATCGTATTATCACGTTCATTTTATTAATTGATTTTAACAATCAAATTATCGGTCTGGTAATGTATGCATATAAACTAATGGGTGTATGAAATATATACCAATAAATTAAGGATGAAATAATCAAATGAGATCTTCAATAAATAAAAAGGGTAAACATTCATAAGTTTCATTCTCCACCACCTAGTTCCATACGAAACTTGTCACTCAAATATAATAATAGACATTTGGCTGGAACCAGGACGAATGTATCTGCTTGGTAGATCAATAAGCATTAAGGTTAATCTTTGAGAAGAGAAGCATATCGTTGACCAAAATTTACGTTGTTCATTTGTGGACTAACTAAAGCAGTATATATTCTGATTGGCGCATCTTTAGTGATTGATTAAGAAACATTTAGGAAAACTCTCGCTAAGGTCAACAAGGCACGCTTCCCCTGGATTCCTTTTTTAGATTCCTCAAAAGGAAGTATACTTTCATTATGTGGGCAACCTTGAATCAATAACCGCTCAAACACCTTTAACAGTACTTGAGATCATCTTGGCTAATGATAAGATATAGCACTTATGATATACAACATGTACATCGGAATCAATAATTAGGGAGAACTTACAAGCATCTTCTCACCACGAAGTTTGGACACTTCAGAAGATAAACGTCGAACAGCTTCACGGAGAGCTTCGATCTACAACAAATAAGAAACGATGATTTTTAAATACTGATATCTTATTCATGAAAGATATTAATTAAATGTGGAGACTTAACGGGTCTTTTTTTTTTTCTTTTAAATTGTTGAGGTATATTTAGTGTGACAAGAGGAATGAAGAAATGATGAACTATGAAAACTTTTTTTAGACTTGGTTACGCCTAATTCAACGTGATCCTTATATTCTAATGTCCTAGTTTTGTGCAATAGTATTTTCTCATCTAATGTGCTTTGTGGTCCAGTTATTGATAATATTTATTCGTGAACCTTGATAAAATATACTGAAAACCTTGGGAGAATCATAAGCCACCAATCAGGAATCGTTGCAAAGTAATAAAATAATTAAGAGCAAAATGCAATATTATAACAATGAAATAACAGCTTTGATCCGAATAGTTAACTCTCATATACCAAATTATTGATTGTAGAAAAGGAAAATGGTTAAGTTTACACGTTAAGAGTTAGGATAGTATACTCTGAATAAGGGTTATCACCCCATAGAGTTTTCATTACCATATAAAATTAGTTATAATGTAAAAAGAGTAGGTCTAGGTATAAAGAGTAAGGTTGGAGTTTTGAGTTCGATTTACAAATTAGGGTTGAGGTTTTCATCATAAACTGACAACAGCTCACAAAATTACGAAACTTAGGGTTGAGATTTAGAGGAAGAGTTAGAAAGAGAGAATATTACCTAGATTCACTAAACACTCTTGACTAAGCATTAAATCACATTAAACACTTTAACACAATCTACCTTAGAAGAAGTTGTGTTTTAGTCATTTAGGTCAACCACCATTTCAAATTCACATTTTGGCTGAGTGATAGATATTTTTACTCAGTCCGAGCATTTTAAGAGACAATTACTGTCGATTTTCATTCAATTAATGATAACATACAGGTTATCTATCATTGAACGTTAAATTTCGTGAAAAATAAATGAGTTACCTCAATTCTGACTTGTTAACTCAAGGTCATCAGTATATCATACTTTTACCGCATACTTTCTTGAGTTAGTTGAATCGGACATAAAGTCTTTTGCTTCGATGAACTTTTTGTTTCTCTTATTAACCAATAAGGCCATTTGTCAGTGTAAGATAGTTTTTTCCCCCCCTTCTGTCTCCAAGGCCATCTGGTCACAAAGTGAAACTCACGCGTTGCATCCTCAAGGTTGTATACTAGGTAGTCCGGCTCATTAAAGCCGTAAGCTAGTTTCGATACAACTTTTCCTCCAAGCTTGAAATGAAGACTAGTGGGCAGATAACAAGGTCACCACAATAGTTTTTTTGGTACATGATCAGTTTTAGTGGATTAGACATCTAGCAGCTAACTATCACGTCACTGGTTCAAATTGATTAAGCTCGTCAATCTGAGACAAATGTGTACTACAATTACCACTTACAATATGACACACGAAAGCATACTAAATGTCGTTTGCCAATTGGACAAATAGACATAGATACAATTTAAATAACTACATGCAGTTAATTGAATCTATTTACATAAGTTTAATTTGCTCTAGTGCTGATAATCAACATCATGATTCACAAGTGTGAAACGTTTGTTAATCGGTCGAAATTAAGAAGTATATTCAGATAAACAAAATACAAATCGGTCTCATAAGCAGGTTTAGAAATCATTACATATAAATTAAGATGAACACGTATTGAGATTCTTCTAATACGAGCGGCTTATATAAGAACTAGATATATCGATTGAATAATACACTATAACAATTCAGTGTTATTAATCCACCTGGGGACACGAGAGAAAAGAAGATACTTTCAGGGTAGCTCTAATACGCTTAAAAGAAGTCAAAATAGCAATTGAATAGCTCAATTGAGATACCATAAAAACTACAAATTAAAAGCGAGAACAACCAATCACACATCAGCAAGGGTTAGTGGGAAAATCTAGATTGGAGAGAAATCACTACAGGTAATTTGTTAAGGTCTTCTTATCAGGACTGACACATAAAATGACTGTGTTGAAAATGAAGATTGTTTATGAGGGGATTTTCCTAATATCACAGTGAACTATTACATATTTAAAACAAGTAGACAAATAAACTTTTTCGACTGTAGATACAAAAAAGGTATTGAGTAGTAGAATTAGTTCTTGGAAAGTAATTAGCTACCACAAAAGAACTAATATCCTACATATTTGTACTGTTATATATATATATATATTAAAACCAACCTCCATTGCCATCAATGAAGCATCTCGGTAAGCAGCCAAACGAGCTGGACCAGGTGAAGGTGATGTACACTCGATTGAAGTTTGCCTATCAGGTGCAGGAGCTGAAGTAGTGGTAGAGCCTGTTGTTGAAGGCTGAGTTTTAGATTGCGTTGTGCCTAGAATATTGAAGATAAAAAAATGGACAGTAGGAGTAATTTAGTATTAAGAAATTGTTATGGTGGAGCAGCAGGCCAGTTGAACTGCCTTTCGAAGAATTCCGCCCATCGTCCAAGACGTCGATGGATGTTGGTGATTGGCATCACAGATTATTTCGCTCACACCAGACTTCTTGCTGCCAGTGGCTCGGATGAGTTGGAAGAGCTTCCGGTAGTAACCAGATGCAGCTGCTGCTCCCAGCTCATTAGCACGCTCCGACCACCAGATTTCTTGGTCCTTACCCAAACTTTGCTCAAATTCATTACGTAACAGCCTTCGTTTGTGGTCAAACTCACGGTCACCCGGAGTAGACCGACTGACTTTGATGAGTTGTAAGGAGCCTGAAGAAACTCAGTGCTTATAAGCGGGACGTTTCGCGAAGCCGCAAGCGTCTTTACTCGCCATTTTCATGGCGTCATGCAATTGCAACCAATGCTCATCTATACTTTTCGGTGGAGTGGTAGCTAGCCTAGAGGCTAGCTCGGTTCGATACTTATTTGCAACAGAAGTTGCAACCAGCTTGCTAACATCAATCCGTTGGTGACGATCACTTCGTTGTCCACTGAAAAGTAAGGTAAGATTGGCGCAGACCAAGGCATGATCACAGTCCAGATAGGCACTCCAAAAGGAGAGGCAGTCTTGTACACAACCACGCCAGCGGTAGCTGATCGCGATGTGATCAATCTGAGTCCAGGCTTAAGATGCAGAGGGAGGACGCCAGGTGGAACATCGACGATGACTGTGCCGAACGTTAGTGCTGGCCAGAAACAGGTTGTGGTCTGTACACAGTTGTAGTAGACGGTCCCCGTTATCTGTCCTGCGACCAACAAGTCCCCATCGGCCACCTAAACGACTCTTCTGTGCCTAGACGCCCGACCTGAGCATTCAAGTCTCCGGCTAGTACTACAATATCTGTCGAACGCACTTTCTGGAGAAGAACTGATAACTGGTGGTAAAACTCATCCTTGATTGCATCTGGGCTGCAATCTGTCGGAGCATAGGCGGAGATGACGAAAAGACGTCGTTTCTCATCCCGATTTCTTCTCACTTTGATGGAACTCTCTAATCTAACAGCACATAACCGACTTTTAATGGGGATCCAATCGATTAGTGTTGCCTCAGCTCTAGTGCTTAGTGAGACATCAACGCCAATAAGACCAGACGAAGATGCTACAGGGCCCTCGGATAATAATAATGATATAATAATAATAATAATAGTAATAATGTGAATTGTTTGTCTGTAAATCGAAGCGAGAATAGAGTTTTCAGTGAATATCATCATTTTCATCATATTTGTGTGTGAGCTGTGATGCTGCCCGGGTGACCAGACCGGAGCAGGTGGTTTTCTTAGGGGGCCACACCCCAAGCCTTCGACCTAAAGGTCTAACCCACAAGGCAGTGGACCGTCGTAAGGAGATGCAGTCTCATGGAAGCCGGTCACCAACAACTGGTTCATACGCCATTTGTTCCCGCAGGATACTGGAGCCTATGTGCACCATTGACTTGGGATCCGGTTAAAGCGCCGGACATTCGCTTTTCGTCCTCTCAATTTCGTAAACAACACCCCTGCTGCGAGAAGTCAGTGAGTTGAACTTCCCTCACAGTGGCTGTATACGCGTGGTCATATGAGAGTATTTCGAGAAGGAGAGCGGACTTTCTCCACTCTCGGCCATACCAGGGCATTTGGGTAGAGATAAAGGGTTTAAGCTTAGTGTGTGTAAATCACGAACTGACATTATCTATAATGCAAAAATACTCTGTAGCCATATGGGTAAACGAATTTCATGAGAAAATGCAAAAAGATTTTTTCTGATTAGTTTTCCCATAACATTTAGCACCACTAGGTTAAGGCTTGTTCCAAGATTAAATGTTGAGGATCATGATTTAAGGATAGTGTCGATTTGTCCATTATAAACAACCAATAGAAAAAAAAATAAGTATTTAGTAAAGGTAACACTATCATTTTACCCTATGATGATAATTTCTCATTTATCATTTCAATCGTTTTCGGTAGCGTACAAAGTATTTCCATTACTCATTATTCATGATACATAAATTTCGAACAAAAAGCTTAAAGTTGTGTTCTTAATTCTGTCTATCTATCAACTAACATAACACAGGAGGTGTAAATTGAACTCTAATTGATATATAACAACCTTGTAACTTCTGAAAACTAAGAAAAAGAAAGAAGAAAAACACAACCCTACTTACTTGGAAGCAGTGGAGATTTAATAATTCCTTCAAATAAAGCTTTTTTACTGAGTGTTTTTAATTTTTCTTTAAGATCTGCTTTTTCTTGTTCCAAAGATTCAATATCCGCTTGAAGTGCATCTAAGGTTTGTTCATATTCTCTGTTTGTAATAATTTTTCGTTGTTGAAAAAAAAACATATCTCAAATAAGTGTTTGAAAAATCAAAGTTTTTATTGTACAATAATCTTAAACGTTACAACAATAATTATTTCCAGACTTCACAGAAAGATCAATCACTCATTAGATAGTTCACATGGAATAAGGAATATTCGATTACCTTAATTTTTCTTGAAGTGCACTACCATCAAAAACGAATAGAATAGTGATCTATATTAGTAATTGTAAATTCAGTCATAAATTTTATAGTCTTGATCTTAATTTATAATGTTATACTCTGTTTTATGTGACCAGGAGAACAAATACTGTGGTATATACATGTGGGGCCCGTAATTTTGTCCTAATTTAGATCGATCAATGTTGTCGAAAGGGCTCTCCACTTTAGTGGCCCGAGATCTGACTCCAAGTAGATCGTAGTGATGTTTGTCATCGACTATCCTCGTATATAATCATCGACTTAGATCACGTTAGTGAATAATAGAATTAAATAAGTCGAATAACGAGAAAGGACGCAGAGTGGAGATAGCTGGTAAGCCACCACCCCATTAGTCAGGCGTTAATCAATATTTATAGTTACACAAAAGTGAGTTACAGATATATGATGAGTAATGGGATACGAAATGTACACAGACCTACGCGCTCATATAAAAACAGTCAAGATTGATAAGTGAATAATTAACAAGGTCAAAATGTAACTCAAGTAGAACGAGTAGAGTGGGCTGTCCGAAACCTAGAATAAAGTATATGGGCTTAATATAATAACCGACACTACATACTACTCATGTTGACAGATATAAGTAGTATGTAGCGCTAATCGGAAGTGAGATGTATGCCAGTAGAAGATTGAGAAGATTCAATTGAAGAGAACAGAAAAGGAAACAATAACCATAGTAACAAAAAAATTGAAAGAATCATCAAGCATGTAAGGGAAAACTGATTAAAGATGTGCAAATTATGTATTTAATGCATGGTTTTCATATTTTACGAAATCATTGTAATTTTGTGTTAATAAAGAAATTAGTTCTCCCTACTTGATTTCTTCGTTCACTACAATACTACTGTGATTTAAGGATCTATTATCGTTCTGCTCTTTTTTTAGTTGTCATTCTGCAATGGATGTTCCGTCGTTGAATAACAGGCGTAGTGAGCAGTTATATCAATGGGTTACATAGTATCATTTTAAGATTACACATCTATCATCAATCTATTTATTATTTTAATAATGAAAAAAATATATGCATAGTAACATAGAAGACAGTGTACTGAAATATTCGGATAACCGATGTTAGTCTTAGATGCTTTGATCAAATCAGTAATCTATTTTTCAGTTCTTTCAAACAAACAAACGAACAATGTATACGAATTCAGTTATTTGCCATAACGGTTTGATAAGAGATATCACTATTAAGGTTTGACTTGACAATTTCAAATAAATTGAGCATTGGATAGATTGTAATAATATATTTGTAATATCCCAATGAGTAGAAAAATTAAGTGTCTTTTAAAAAGATTTTTTGACGTTTCGTGACTCAGTGTAAGCTACTTCTTCAGAGTAAATAAACAAATGAAATTAACCAAAGTTTAAATAGTACAAAGGAACAAAGCAAGAATATTTGGTGCAATCAATTAAAAAACAGGTTTGACCAAGTCAATGCCATGTCATTTCGGTCAATGTGATTTATGTGAGGCATGATTTATGGTGAAAACACACCTTGTTATGTTGATGTGATAACATATACCGATGTTTACTTGTATACTATGTCCTCTATTTTGTATTGACTGACTTAAAAATGGATATGAATTTATTCCAACACAACAAGTGGTCTAAAAAATCTTGTCGAATGAAGAATGAAATTTAATTTATGGATGTTGTTTTGCACTAATTCAACAAAAAGTTGACAACAGGAATGAAGGTTTGAAATATGATCAGTAAAAGATATTAGTAGTAAAACACTTATCTGTGAATAACTTCACGCTAATATTTCAAGAGGCAATTAATTCATTTATTTAAGCATAAACTTTTATTAATTTATTTAAACTCATAGACCTTGGTATAAGAAGGCACCGAATACGTATGCGCCACACAGATCATTCGATATATGTGAGGGCTCGAATACTGACTCTGAGCCCAACCCGAAGCACGCAAACATAAACATTGGTGCAAGGAGGAAATAAATATATATGCGCCACACAAATTGAATGATAGCCGGTGACCAACAATAGGTCCATATACCATTTATTTCTTTAGAATCCTAGAGTCCACGTGTACCATTAGTTTGGAATCAGGGTTTTGCAACTCCCCGGTTAAAGAGACGGACATTTGCTAGGGAAATACCACTTTACATCAATTAAAAACTTGGTAAGCATTGAAAAATTATCCTAATGAATAGGTAAACTCTCCGCTGGAATATCTTAAAATTCTGTATTAACACTGTAAATAAATCACTTTGAAAAACATCACTATTCAGTCCATTGTCACATACTACTGATTATAATCAAGTAAGTAATATTAATGCAGTTATATGGATATTAGGTTTTTAATCATTTTTCTTGTGTGCATAAAATTTGATGACTGTTGATTTAAGAAACCAGTGTACAAAGTCCGCATTATAAAATGACAGAATGTGGGAAAATGATAACAACCGATGAGTTATTCTATTGGAATTCAAAACTCGTTAAAGTTGCACATTCAATGCTAATGTAATGCAATGTCAGTTGAAACTTTCATGTAGGAAATAACGAGAGGTAGGTACTTCAGAGATAATCACAAGGGGTTTTGTGAAGATTTTAGAAATTTCACTAGTTGAAATCATGAATGCATGCGCACTGCTGAGGAGTCCCATACTGGGATGAAACGGCCGTCCAGTGCTTCCAGGTTTTCCATGGTGGTAGTCTAGCTTCAATTGACTTATGATTTCAACTTCAGAGATAACCTTATTTTCCATGGAATTATCATTAATATAACAATTATATCAAGAAACATTGTCTTGTGGATAGGTTTATGCGATATGAAGGTACCGTTTCGTGTTGATTGATAAACTTTACATTCTAAAACTATTAAAAAGTAGTAACAAACATGAAAAAAACATACTTTTCATTACGTTTCTGTTGAGCTTCTGATTGTTCTAAACGTTGTTCTAATCGGGAAATTTTCTCTTCATTCGATTTTCCTGCAGTTTCTAACTTTTTCTCAGCTAAACTAACACGAACAGACATTTCACTAAGCTCATCAGCACGTGCTTTTAATGCTTTTTGTAATTCACGTAGTTCTTCACCTCGACTTTCTAATTTAGCACGACATCCTTCTAATTCAGTTTGTGCACGTTTATAGGCGATGGCACGTGCAACAACTGGCTCTTGAGGCTAGATATTATAGAATAAATACATCAAAACATTAAAAAAGTATTAGTAATCAACAAAAAATTCATATTATATATAAACAAAAAGGAAAGGCGATCTGTCGTCTATATTATAAGTTATATATATATATATATATTAGACGTAGGGTATTAGGGAATGATGGTAAATCAGTTGATCAAGCTGTGAATCTTCATCGACTGAGATGGTTGGGCCAAGTGTTACGTATGCCTGAATACCGATTACCACGACGTGCAATGCTATCCGGTATTGGAGATGGTTGGAAGAAAGTTAGGGGCGACCAAACCAAAACGTGGCATCAGTCTGTAAAGTCACTAACTTATGGTCTGAACCATGTTGGTAGATGCAGACTACTCGGCTGGGGTCCGCGTGACTATCGTAACCAATGGTTGTAGACTCTTGGTGACATGGCTCAGAATCGATGGCAATGGCGTTGGTGTATACACTCTCTATCTTCCCATAAACTATGAGATTGAAATCGCTTCATATCTTTCTTCCTGTACTATGTCCTTATATGCAATCTTTCTTTTATATATTACCACCACTTAATTAACTACTCCTATGAATCCGGTGTTCATCTTGTTGTGCTAATGCGGTATGGCAACTTGGACCGATGGACATATGTGCCTGGTCCTACGTTGTAGCTGACTGACTGATATACTTGTGTATTGTGGAACAATCTAGTACGCAACGTTAAGCATAGAGTACTTGAGTAAAAATGGAAAAGCGGTCTAACATGCTGTGAATTTTCATTGAGTGAGGTGTTTGAGACATGTGTTGCGTATGTCTAACTACTGTATACCTAGACAAATCGATGTCGGTTGGCGTAAGAATAAGTTGGATAAAAGCTAGGGTCAATCAAGCTAAAACATCTTGTTGAATAATGAAGTGAATAACTATTAATCTGAGCCATGTAGGTAGATGTAAACTACGTGGCTGGGGGTCGATAATATAACCATGATCAATGGTTGACGAGGGTAAATGACACGACTAAGAATCGGCCACAATGGCGCAGATGAACTTACTTATCAGCTAAATTTTGAGTTCCAGTATTCCTTTACACCTATCTTTTCGAATCATATTTTCAATGTCTAATTTTTCTTTGTAATTGTTGACAAATTGTTTCTATACTTTTCTATCTATCTCGTCGTGATTATGTAATACGAAAAATGTGAACACTCCTTCAATTTGAATCATATACACCATTCGATGAAATATATATATCAGCCACTAGATATTAGTGTTTGCTTACTTTTTCACAATTAAAAGTACCATGATATCACTTAGTATTGGTCAGACTTGCTTTGCAACTGATGAGGAACTATTCCAGGAAGGATTACAAAGTGGAATGTTTACTTTCTAAACTATAGACTATAACAACCGAGTAAACCGAACTGATAGTAATTTCAACAAGAACAAATCCAATACTATGTAATTTTTGAGAACAGTGAAATTTCTTCTCTTTTGCATATTTTTCACATCATCATATATCAGTCGCTATTATCTAATTCCAATATATTTGCTGTAACACATGAGAGGCAGCAAAATACGACCTAAGGTCTTCTCGCGGCGCTGTTTGATAGTAGGGACAACCTTACTAGCCAACTTACACAGTTGACGGAGATCGGACTAATTACCCACTCCGTTGTGTCCTTGATTAACTCGGGATTCACTTAATCGCACCAGGCTACCTGATGTGTATGCTTATGTATAAGAATTGCAAAAGTCCCCAGGCCTATGTAGTTCATGTATGTAGGTATATACAAAGGGTGTGTGTGTGGTTGCGTATAATGGAAACGTTAGCTGAAATGTTGTCTGCCGTATGTCTAATAAAATTAGCAGCCCAACCCATCAGGTCGAAGACATAATAAAACGATATGGTAATCAATCCTAGGGACCGATTCCCCACAAAATCACACCCACGAGTTTGTGAGCCTTGAAAAACATGGAATCCATTCCAGAAGAACGTACATGAACCTCCCCAGAGAAAGTTTTATCAACCAATCTGGCTGGAACACCATACCGATAAAGGAGAACTAATGTTATATTTATGTTAGTTATTCTTGTTCAGTTTCTGATGTCAGTTAAACAACTGTAAAACTTTCCTTTTTAACTATTTAGACACACGATACATTCCAGGATTGGATAATGGAAAATTAAGGTTTTATAGATAGGAACATGGTGTTTAAATTATAGATGGCTTCTAAAAGACTTACTATCTAGTCTCATAAACTTTACGACGAAAGATTAATGAAATGATCGGATTGTAAATTGTTTTAAAATGTAATTCAGTTAAACAAGTACAAATTTGTGTACATTATTACGAGCTTTCGTCTACATTTGATCGAATAGTTTCACAGTATTTGGGCGCCGAGTTGATGCAAGACATTAAAGATGAAGAATGTATTTGTAAAATCTCAGCGAATGAATTTGACATCAGTTAGCCCCCAAATGCCCTGGTATGGCCGAGAGTGGGGTGGGCCCGCCCTCCCTCTCCAAATGCTCTCACTCAGCCACGCGTATACAGCATCTGCCAGGGAAGTCCTACTCACTGCCTCCTCGTGGTGGGGGTGTTGTTTACGAAATTGAGAGGACGAAAAGCGAAGTCCCGGCGCTTTAACCGGATTCCAAACCAATGGTGCACATAGGCTCCAGTATCCTGAAGGAACAAATGGTGTATGAACCAATTGTTGGTCACCGGGCTTCCATGGGACTGCATCTCCTTATGATGCTCCACTGCCTTGTGGATCAGACCTTTAGGTCAAAGGTTCAGGGTGTGGCTCCCTAAGAAAACCACCTGCTTCGGTCTGGTCACCCGGGCAGTATCACAGCCCTCACACAAATCGAATGACTTATGTGGCGCATATCTATTTGGTGCCTCCTTGTACCAATGTTTATGTGTTCAAATAAATAAATAAATAATAATAAGCAACATGTTATATAATGCTAATTAACTACCGAAACCATTAATCAACGTTCCTACTCACAAATTATGTTATGGATGTAATTGAAGAATTCAGAAATAACATTAAATCATTATACAATGTTATTTTCAAATCAAACCTTCTGTTGTGTATATTACTAGGACTACGTTATAAAACTAATTTCAAATTAAGAAAAAATCTTCATACAATATATTTTTTAATAACTAATAAATGTGAATTTAGTAAACTTACCAATGGTTGTTTAGTTCCATCAAAATCATATTCACCATTTTCCATTGCTATTGCTATTTGACTAATAATACGAGCAATTTGACTTAGATTAGTACGAACTAATATTTCTGGTGAAATAACACTAGAACGTGAAGTACTACTAGTTCGAAGATCAATGGATGTTAAGTATTCTTTACAAGCTTCTGTTAAACATTGAGTAAATACAACATTTGGTTCAAGATTGGATGAATCTTCCTGTGAAATATTACACATGAAAAAATGTTACTAGAAGACAAACAAGGATATCTATTGTTATGAAAGCATTATTAAGAGAAATATGTAAGAAATAATGATAAATTAATGTTACAATAGGTATTTTATTGTACTGCAGCTGATTATCATATTTAACTAATCTCCTTAAACTGCTAGTTAGTTGAAGGTAGTTGACAGGAAACATTGGGTTTAACTTTCGTGCTACTTAGCACTTGTTATCAAGGTGTACCTGTAATCCTTGGGAAACTGATACCCACTAAAGGATTCAAATTTACTTCACACTGTTTTACGAACTAAGACGATACCATTTAGCTATCCGAGCCGCAACTAGGGATTTTGTAAGACTGAAATATTTACAATTAAATGACCAATGAGCAATGGCTAATTTCAAGTTTAATTACTCCTTTTTGGCTTATCGGATTTCATGAATTCATTTGATAACTTCTTAACTAAGAAAGTGAACAAATGTGTTAGCTTCTTAAACACTGCCAGTGGATTATAAATAAACTAAGCACAAATGAGAAGAATAAAGTTGAAAATAGCAACGGTGCAAATAGATCAGAAACAAATAAAATACAATTTATTAAGTACGAGTACAAACCAACGCTTTCAAATTTAACTTTAACTTATTATCACCCAGATGCTGTGGAACAAAGTGAATCAAAGTACATTCGAAATTAGGATCTGATGATGATTGAAAATGGAATAATTTAAGACTGACCGAATGATTTGTTTAACCGTTGGCTAAGAGCTAACACATAAAAAACGTCAAGGTTATTTTTTAACGTAGCCATAAGTCACCAAGGTATTACATAGTTTTCCTCAAAAGATTAATATTATACCAAGAGAAAAAGAGCATACCACTTGACGAACTGTTAATTGACCTGCCAAACGAGTTGTTGTGTACATAGTTCCAACAATTGAATCAAATAATTGAATAACTGTATCTAATTTCTGTGCAACATCTTGATTAAATGATAATGGTTGTTGACCAATAGGTTTATTTGGAATTCTTCGTTTTATTCGACGTATAATTACACGTACAGTTGTAGCAAAATGTACTAATTCATTAAGAAGAATAATTAATCCTTCATTATTATCGTTACTACATGAAGATTTTAACAATAACAATGAACCAACTTCATCCATACTACCCATACTTAATGGACCAGAAACATTTGAAACAGCAGTTTTGGCTATTTTTAATAAACAATCAACATCTTTTCCTGTTAATATCATTAAAGCCATAGAATCAACTGATAAAGCATCAACTGCAGATAAAATTATTCGTGTAAAATCCATCAATTTAATATTACAATTAAATAATGGTTCATTTTTCAAATGAACATTATATAATTGAATGAAATAATTAAATGATGTTATCAATGATTCTAATGATATTGTCTCATCTAATTGATCATTTTTAGTTTGTTCTATTAATCGATCAATACAGTGTTCATGAACACACATTTCATTGTATAAAGAACCAAATTTCAAATACAGATCAACACTGCAACCTGTAAAGATTCTGTTTGAAGTAAATATATGAAAAAACGAATGAAACAGATATGAGCATATTAAGTATTCATATAGAATCTTTTCGAAAATCAACTTAAACGTGAAACACTGGAATGAAAAAAAGAGATCTATAAACCATGAACTATGGTGTACAGACATTGAAAACACAGTCAATAAAAACTACACCCTTCGTTGTTGGAATATTCAGAAAAATATCCCTAAAATTATTCTGTTAAGTCTAATGCTGTCCTTAGACTTGAGATGGTATCATTTCCCTACTGGTCGATATTTATTTCACGTGTCATTTTCCTGCCAAATATTGTACAATGTTATTTTCTATTTTATGATACGATGTGGTCTGTTTGGTTGGTATATAAACAGAGTATGCTTGAAATATCATGATTCGTATCTCAGAGGTTGAGACTTGGGTTCTGGACTTAACTGGCTGGGCTAAGCGTAAAGCAGGACCAGTCAGGACTCTAGGTTGTTCTCACGTGTTTTACGCGTCTTTGGTTCGATCGATAATTCACTGCCGTCTAATCCGCAGTCACAGTTATAACATTCGTATAATTAGATAAGTAAATTAAAATGCATTTGATAAACTAGAAGAGAGGATATGATTGCAACAAACTGGTACTAGTAGTTAACGTAATGAATCCGATGTAATCACTGAGCTAACAGTCAAACTGAATACAAAAGAAGCTATGGATTTAACTGATTCTTTACAGTGGTTCAATTTTGATTGTAATAGTTTAGTGACGTTACACTGAACGATTTTAAATTTGAGTAAGATAAAAATGTACTTTCGGAACTGAACATACAAGTTTTTGATAAATCCTAACAAACAAGAAACCTAATTTAGCCGGGAGTTTTTTATGGGTTACTGTCACAAACGTGACATTGTTGTACATTATGATGTTATGTAACAAACATTAGTGATGGTTAGAATCATTGATGGACTAATCCCAGCCACTACCAATATATATATAATTTGTCCAATTAATAAAACAACTAAGGTACTCAAGTCGCTATATTATGGACACGACTAAACAGAGACCCAGTCATACGGTACTTCAACGCTCACCATCTCAAGAAATCCCAACTTTGGCAGCTTGTTTCTAATTATTTACCAATCGATTCAAGTTGTAATTTCTTTATATGAACAAGATCTGTGCAATAGACAAGTGAAATGAACTAACACAATTATCATTGATTGTCCGTGAGTTTTTCATCTCCAATTAACTTACCATGGTAAATTAACCTGCTCACTTATTAGTTTTAGCTCTTTCTGACTTTTTGTAGTTATTAAATGGCAAAATGAAACAAAACAGTGACGATAAAAAGTGTAACGACAAGAGAGTCTGACTTTTGATGGGTTTCACGTGTGTTTTAAACAGTAGAACAAGAGATGAGATAAATGTACTCCCATAAACAAAGAGAATCTTGACAGGAATAAGACTGATATATCCTAGATTTAAAATAGAGCTTTTATAACTACAATCCATGAATTTATAGAACAAATTAATGAATAAGCCAGAAATCATTAGTAGCTAATACAATTAAATCCAATTCAATTAAAATCAAAGTAGAAATATGCATATACGTGTATATCACAATAAGGATTTCAACCCTAACTAGTACCGTGGTCGTCATTTTACTAAAAACTAAGTATATTTGAACAGATCTATTGTAAAAATATCGGAACTTGATTTAAATATTGCTATAAATATGGCATGTATGAATATACTTACTGCTTGTACTGATTTAATAAAGAGCCCATTGATCGAAGCAAATGAATTAATCTTGTTATGAAACTGTAAAATTCGGCTTTACTTTTAGTTAATGGTGGTAATGGATTATCAGTGCCTGGAATACAAATTCCACTAACAGTAGTCGTTTGACTATCTACAGCATTGCTATCTGTTTGAGGAAGTTGCAATGATGTTTGACCAGGTACACATGGGGGTAAAGGATAACGTTCAACAAGCTGAATTTATGTAGATTTAATGAATGAAAGTAAGAGAACAACAATACGAAAGTTGGGTAGGTAATAAAATAAATGAATTTAATACACAGAATGGTGTGTTGAATTACGATCCGAATTTAAAAGTTACGTTTAAAAAATAAGATATAAAAAACAATTGAACTCATGAGTCGATCTAAGATAGACAACCATTGAAAACCTGTAAGCATTGGACAGCCTTTTCGTCCTGGTATGGGATTCCTCAGCAGTGCACATCCACGATCCCGTACGTGGCACTCGAACCCAAGAACTTCGGTCTTGCGCGCGAACGCTTAACGTCAAAACCATTGAGCGCACTACTGAAAAGTCCCATACAAGGACAAAAAGGTCGTCCAGTGCCTCCAGGTTTTCAATGGTGGTCTAGCTTAAGCCGACTCGTGAATTCAACGGATAAAATACTACAATCTCCACAAATCCCCAAACTGATATAAAAAATAATATCGATGCTTTTATAAAATTAATTATGGGAATAAATTTTATTAACATTTCAATGGGATACAATCCTTCTTGTGCTTTTATGCAGACTGAAGAGTCTGAAATTAAAAAAAAAACAAGTCTAATGTGTATCGATGGTTTAAAACTAGACTACTGTCAGATGAATTTACGGTAAACGAAGTAGCATAGTAGTGTAGTAAACAAGAACACCAGTGGGGACAATCGAATGTACTTAAGACAACATTACAGGACTTGTTAATAAAATCTAACAATCGAATAGTAAATACATAATTTGCAAAATGTCCATCAATTGTCTCATAATGACTCAGACTTCATTGTTCTTGCACTTTCATACAAATCGCTTTCTGTTTCCATTCTTTACTGTTCGATCCTCTTGTCTCTTTGCTGCTGCCAGACCTTCAGTTCACGACTAACATCATATGCTACTTATGACAATATAAGTAACACACACCACAGTAGTAGTATGGTGAAAAAGAACGGTCGTTCAACAGGATGAATAACTTAATGTGGACTACGTATATCTTCTCCTTTAATAGGCTATGTTTCTGCTTTATTAGTTGAACTATCATAAACTATTGGTTAACCCATATACATATGACGTGTATAGAGGGGTGAAAGATAATTACTCTCTCATTCAACATGAGGTCAGATCTAACTCCAATACACGATATATTTATGAGACATTCCGATAGGGACATCAATAGTGCTTGAGTAAAAATAAGTATACCAAAATTAAAGTGCACTATTTTTGGATAACACACTAACTACTCACATGGTTAGCTAATAGGTCACACTTTCCAGTTAGACGATCGATTAAGAGAAGAGCTAATAATGCTTCATTATCACCACCACGTCGTAAAAATGAATCCGGAAGAAAAGCAGATAAACGAGTTACATGATTTGCACTTTGTTCTGCTTCAAGACGTCTCAATTCAGCTTCAATCACCTTTTCAATAAAGATGAAAAAAATAATACAAAAGAGTGAATAGGAAGTTGATGAATACACTGCTGAATTATGATTATTTTAGTGTAAAAATAATTACGATGGTAGGATTGAACGTAATCAATAATAAGATTTAGTTAAGTCGAAAGATTTTGGTGAATAATAGGAATGATATTAACGAAATGATATAACTGACAGCAAATTATATTTCAATGAAAACATCAATACAGATTTTCAAAATAAATGAATAGGTGGGACTAGAATTTATGGAAGGTCTTTAAGCGACAATAAAATGCCCTTGAAAATGTTCACCTACTTACTAGTGTTGAATGAGGGTTATACACCAGTGTGAGAAATTAGGATTATGATTTACGGCTGATGGTTAATGTTAGGAATTAGATTTTGGGTTTTCATCACGAACAGACAATTCAGTAGTGAAGGTGACTGAAAACATAGACTTCAATTGAACTTCTACAACTGAAATCAATACTAGTTTGTTGCACTTGGGATTTGTGGAATCTGTGTTGCTTGATATCAACGACAGTATTTGACGACAATATATGCATGACTAAACAGTTCATAAAGATGCATATGACAGGATTTTCACATAGTAATCTAGCGACGAATACGTGGGTTACCAATTACAGATCTATATAATCAACTTTGAGTCACAGTTTGTCTTTGAGGGCTAGTGGTAAATGATCGCCAAAACCGAAGTAGTTGAAGAGGATACAAACCTATGACCTAGTGGTTGAAAGTCAAAGATTTTGACGATTAACCCATTGCTCTACTAATGGCTCACTGCGAGCTTGTAGCGAAACCAAAGATTCCTGAGTGAGATTGGTAGCAGAGTCACAGGTACGCGTTGCCAAGGAGTTTCATACAAGAAAAAAACAACTACCAGTGGTAACTCGTTCGGTGTAGTTCCACAGTCGATGCCGATGAGTAACTAAAATGTATGTTAACATGGTAACATCGTATTAACAAGAACCATGGTGATAATAACAAATAATTACTTTAGCAAGAGTTTGTGCCTGAGAAGTGGCACCAAACTTGGTTCCCATAAATGGAACTGCAGAACTAGCAAATTCTGTTGCAACTGTTGAATGTAGTTGTTGTTGTTGTTCCTGTAAACGTTTTCCATCAGCTAATGATCGTTGAAGATCAGAATTTTGAGTTTGTAAATCGGCGACTAAATCTCTAAATTTACCTAATGTTTGTTCATAATCTGCAATGGTTTCACGTGTAGCATCTAAGTGACGTACAAGTTGATTTATTTGTGTATTCGCTCGTTCAATTTCTTCACGAAGTTCAAGCTCAGTTTCACGACTATTCTCTTGTAATTCATCATTCATTTCACATAGTATTTCCTATATTAGAAAAAAGGAGGAATACAAAATTAGGAGTGTAACAAGTTATATTTATAATGCTAAATATTGCTTTTCACATTTCAGACTTATGATAATTTTTTTCAATCAATCCTATGCAAATCAAAGGATGAGATGACAAAGGAAGAAAACTGAACACCATCTACAAAATAAATTGTTCCAGCTGTGAAAAACACTACGTCGAACAAAATGGACACCTCCTTCATCGTCGCCTGCACGAACGTCAATTAGCGGTCAAACGCCATGATATATCCTCGCTTATGTCAATGCATGTGGACAACTGTGGACACACATAAGGCTGGGAAAATGTTGAGATCTTAGATAGAGGGTATTCTAACAACGCCAGAGGATTTTTTAGAAGCTTGGAACTCAGGTCAGTCAGCAATCAACAAACACATTGAAATCGATCCAAATTATCAACCAATTAGAAAAATTATGGACAAATGTAGGACCAAGAATCAAATCAATCGGAGATACAATCAAAATAAAAAAGTAAACAATGACAGGTTAAAAGTTAACAATAACCAATCAAGACCGAGGTCTACAGGGCAAGCTATGAGTCATATGTAGAGAAGTTCGAATATTTCACTTCTACTTGAAGTTTGTGTTGCTGCTGAAGTCATTCGTTGCCCCCAAATGCCCTGGTACGACCAAGAGTGGGGAGAGTTCGCACTCCCTCTCGAAATGCTCTCATATGGCCACGCATATATAGCCTCTGCCAGGGAAGTCCTACTCACTGCCTTCTCGCAACACAGGTGTTGTTTACGAAATTGAGAGGATGAAAAACGAATGCCCGGCGCTTTGACCGGGTTGGTGGACATAGAGAGTCCACCTAGGGGAATTGGAAAACCCTAATTCCAAACCAATGGTGCACATGGGCTTCAGTATCCTGAAGGAACAAATGGTGTATGAACCAATTGTTGGTGACTAGCTACCATGGGACTGCATCTCCTTTACGTTGCTCCACTGCCTTGTGGATCAGACCTTTAGGTCAAAGGTCCAGGGTGTGGCTCCCTAAGAAAACCACCTGCTTCGGTTTGTGCACCCGAGCAGTATTACAGCCCTCACACAAATCAAATGAGATTTGTGTGGCGCATATGTATCTGGTGCCTCCTTATACCAATATCTATGTGTTCAAACAAATAAATAAGCAAATAATAATGTCGTTCGGAAGAACGATGAAAGCTCCACAACCAAATCATCGAGCTTACAGAAAAAAACTTCAGCAAAATAAATGGATATCTCAGGTAACACAAAAAGTACGTATTTGGAATAATTAAAAAACCAATTGATTATGAAATTATTCAATGAAACTAATCATTTAAGATAAATCATCAATGGATTTCTTTTACTAAATGTTTCACTAACAATCAGTTTCTGTAATTTGATGAGAATGAGGCAACATCTTAATGGCATTAGCCCTCTTAAGACAAACAATAGGGCTATTGTACTTATTTTGGATTTAAAATGTTTACTGTTGCAATGGTAACCAGCTAAGATATGTATCTTAACACATGGATGAGAGAATAAGGTTTCACAACGTATTTTATGTGTAACAATTAAGTATTAAACTGTTATTCAATTAACAACTGAAATCTAGACAGATCGGTTGTGTGAACTCCTAAACTTGAGAAAAGAGATATAATTAAGTTGTAATACAATTTTCGATAGAGTTCTAATCAATGTTGTTGAATAGGTTTATAGGTATATGCAGAGATTATTTGTAGTTTGAGCTTATGTATATATTTTCTGTCTGTTGAAGTGGATGAAGTATTTCAGAACCGAAGTTCTGAGTTTTTTTTCATTTTGATAAAAACCGGATGTAATAACCATTAAGCCATCGTCCCAAATTCCATCTATGAAAAATTTTATGTTATGATTTTTACGTAAGACAACATAGATAACTGCATAAAATCACCCAATAATATGAATATATTTGTTGTTTGTACACATATAACCTGATGTAGTAAGCAAACGAGACATACCCTATCGAACTACACAATGTATTAACACTATTCGTGATAATGAAAATGTAACTGAGATAAAATCAACTCATTTATCTACCTGCCCAAAAGTTATAACCTACGTGGTCAATATCGGAGTCACCCTAGGTGTAAGTAATGTTATTTGGCACACAATTTTCTTACGAACTTCACTTCACTCTCTGTCTAGAAACGCTGGTCGATAGTCAACAGTTACTTTAGAAATGAGCTTGCATAAATTCTGCATGGACGTAATTCACGTAGAAGCTGTAAACGACTACACACTGTAACTGTTAATTTGAAACAGATAATAGTTTAGAGTATAAAATATCATTTTTGTGGGTAAATTAAACATATTATTTATTTGTGTTGTATATCAGTGGAAAAACTAATGAAAGCCAACTCAATGACCAAAATTAAAATTGAACTAAAGTCATGCATAGATACATATACACTTACCAAATCATTTCTTTCCTCTTTAACTTTTTCAAGCATTTCTTCCAATTCTAGATTACGTTGTGTCAATTGACTAACCATTGTATCAGCACCAAGTGAAGCGTCTACTTGTTCTTTCAATTCAATAGTTTGTTCAATACTTTCTTTTAAATCGTTAGTTAGACGTTCTTTCTCTGTTTGAAGTTGATTAATTTCAGATTCCAAAGATGTAATCTATCACAATAAGGAAGAGAAACAAAGAAACTTTAAGATACATGAAGTAATTTATTAGTAAGAGTTTGTAATTTCTTGTTCAAGTCCTAATGTGGACATCAAAACTAAGAGGGAGGGGATGAAGTAACATCAAGCTGATGAGTTCCAAATAGGTATGAAACTCATATATTGGATACTACTGCTGATCTCATACCAGCTATATTGAAAGAAGTCACTTATTCAAAAGAATTTACGAAATATTTTAATGTAATGACAGTTATTTAATTTAGGAAATGTGATATAACTGAGTATTAATTAGTTTAAAAAAAGATTTCTTTGAATCTGGCTATGAAGTTTAAGTCACGCACTTTCACATGAGTCAATCAATGAAACCAGAGAGCAGTGGATGCAAAGCTATTAACTGTTCGCAAATGGAGTATGTAGAGTGGATTTCGAAAAAATAACACGTAACCTTATAATGTGAGGTTTTATTTGAAGTGATTGAGTTAAATGAACCATAAGTTTTACAACTAACTAAATCACCATGAGATATTGTATGGTTGAATTTAATTCACACAAAAAGTTAACTTACTTGTTTAGTTAAAGCAGTTATTTCTTGTTTATCTTGATTAGTTAAATCTCTTAGTTTAACAAGTGCTTGTTTCATTCGTTCATTTTGTTGTTCAAGATTTTTCAATTGTAATGGAGTTGGTCCACCATCTGCACCAGGTAAAGTGGTTGCTCCTCCTGTCGATGTTTGAAAAAAGAATCAAGTTTATCGAAATTATGAAAATATATATGAGTACCTTGCAGATAAGTGGTATAATATCACTTTATTCATTGAGATTAGCAAACGTCTCCACATGGTTAAGCGTACAAATCCAAAACTTGTTGAAAGTTATATCACTAATTAAGGAAATATGTTGAACTGAATATTAAAAGCGATCTGAACATACTTTTAAAAAGTCCCAACCTAAATAGTCGATATTAATAATTAACTGGAGACTTGTGCATATTACGGACTGTAAAAGTTGCGTAACGATTGATTTAACAATTGAAGATAAAGACAAAGAGTTATAACAAAAGGTAGAGGTGATCAATTGACGTGACAAAATAGTGCGAAAACATGCAAAATTTTATACAGAGTAGTAAATGATTAATTTTAGACTAGATAGTTATTTTATACGGAAATTGATGTGTGTGTGTGTTGATTCATTAAGTTTGGAGACCGCTTTTTACATCAATGAACATAAGCTTAAAAATCACTTAAAACGACTGGGGTATTGACAGATTTTTCGTTTCATACAATGCGTACTGGCAGCATTACCACAAAGTATAATACCGGAAATTCGAGTAGTTGAGGTCCGTGCGATTGTTGTGATCAACGACTGGAAACGTTGTGTCACATAGCGTATAATTGATTTCCATGATGCAGATATATTTAGTCCTTATCTTTAATTAGACTCTTAGTTTCAAAAGTATTTTATACCGTTTAATTCTGAGAATTCATGCTTCATGAACTATATTTCCTATGCCTAATGTTTGATTGTTATCACTGATATTAAATTGCTTTGGAATTCACGTTGACAATTTTTTACTGTGATGATGCGGTATGGCAATTTTGCCTGACTAGACATTCGCTCCTGGTTCTACATTTTCTTATAACCAAAAACCTTCGACGCAAATACGAAGACATTAGGCTGTTGAACCGGGACACAACCAAAACCATTTCTAAACTATGTTAACCTATAATATGGAGTCGATCCTCTACTAATGTCATCTGGATATAACAGCACGATAATCTCGAGTGCCGTTTGAAGTGATTGGGAGGTTGTTACTTCCCAGGTTGCCACACTGTGAAACGATACTTGATGTCGGAGTACCTGAAAAAGAGACTAGATAGTTAGTAGTTTTACCGACCTGGGAGCATGATTGCACGGCCCGAAAGACAGCTGTTTGAAGCCAGTACCCAAGGCCTTCTCGTAAGTCGCTTCAGATGTGTCAGGTCCGTACTTTTACAGCCTTAACAGAAATTCTTCTGCCAAGGCGAGGTATGCTATATTTAAATCCAACATTTGCTAGTCCCATCTTTCGGTGTGCGAAAGCAGAATCGTTGCATATGCCGGTTGCCTAAGGGAAAGACCTTACTACCGTCATACAAACTGATTCAGTCAAACTTCGCGCTCTAATATGAATTGGTCGTTTTTGATAATAGTAATGGTGTATGATAACAATGAAGCATTAGACACAGAGAATATAATTCACGAATGATGAATGAACTTTCAGCATAAAATGATATAGAATATTTTTAAAATTCAATTTAAGGGAAGATAAAAACTGAATATATGTGCATCACAGAAATCGAATTGATATCATAGGACTCAAAGTCTCTAACCACTGATGTTGATAACTGCACGAGGTCCAACTAAGTTAGTCTAAATCTACTAATATGGACTAGTTGAGTAGTCAATGACTTCACAGACTGTCGTATATCCAACTGACAGAAGATAAAATCGTGAATATCAATGAAATGTAATGATCAAAAAACTACAACAATTCCGAAAAGTATCAGTTTTCTGATTATTTAACAAAATTATAAGTGGAATGGACAACTATCAAGTTCCCACATCTGGGTCCCCATTAGTCAGAAAAGAAACTTAATAATAACACTCGCAACAAGAATACGACGAATCTGTAGTCACGAAGTCATAGATGAAGAACTGGGCCACTTGAAGGAGATACTTATTAAGAACGGATATCCTTCGATATTCATTGATAAGAACATAAAGCCGAAAACACAGATAACTACAGTATAAAAGAAAACTTTATACATGAACATCGAATTTAAGGGTGACATAGCCACACACACCCCAAAAATGAGAATTTCCGATTCCTTAAAAAGAACATTCCCCGCAACAACATTGCGAATAGCATTCTCCAGCCGATCACTGCTCACCAATAATCTTAAAGATAAATTATCTCATCTGACCAACACAATGTGCATTTATCCATTTACCTGGAACTAGGTATATAGATCGTTCGATGCGTAATTTATCCAAAAGAATTCAAGAACATTGTCCGGCATGGCTAAAAAGAGGAGGAAGCGGTTCAATGAGAAGCTCAGTAATCGAACACCTTGTGAACACAGGTCACTCAATCAAGACAGACTCTGCGTTCAAAGTCATCTACAAGGTAAGTAGAAGTCTCCCGAAAACAATTAGACTACTTCTTCTTTGCATTGTCGAAGCATTAGCCTGATATCTGGAAAGACCAGAATTGTGTGTGCAAAAGCGACTGGTACAACTTCTTCTACCATAGTCCTGATGTCTTATAATTTTTATTTTTAATTTTTAATTTTCCTCTTTCTTCATACTCTTCTTCCTTTACAGCCATCTGCTTCACCCTACATCTTCCCCTTAAATTTTCTACCCCCAACTGGTTCATTTTGTTTCCACGATCATCCTCATTACATTTAATCTTAATTTCAACATTTATCTTATCATGCTGAGCTATATTTTCCCAATGATAATTTCCCTATCTATCATTTGATGAATACTTAAGCCATTAACAATCAAACGATTATTAAACTTTCTTTGTTTTTAAAGGAATTTTTTAATAACTTTGTTTATTCAACCTCATTGTCAACATGCCTAAAAGAAGTTCATTATCAGTATTATTATCATCCTGTTAATATAAGTATATACATTTGCGATTGTACAGCTTGGAAAATGAATTCGCCGAAAAGAGAACTCTTCACTGAACTAATCTTTCTTGATTAAAATTATAAGTAACATTTTTAAGGTAACTCAAAACAACTCCAGCCATCTTCATAAAATACTGATTATAAGTAATATATATGAATAAACTAACCTTTCTCTTCAGATTCTTCTTTTAAAATTTGATTTTCAAGTGTCAATTCTTCTACTTGTTCTTTTAATAATTCAATTTCTGTAGTTAATGATTCTAATTTTTCTTCTGCCATTTCTTTATCTAATGTAGCCATTTCCACACTTTCAACCATTTCAGCTACTTCATCACGATAACGATCAAATGCTTCTTTAATTTCAGCTTTTTCCTTTATTTTTATTTTTTTTTTATAAATAAAGAAAATTAACATTGGAATATTACAAATATATTGATTTATTTATAACACATCTACCCAATGCTCAATTTATTCGAAATTATCAAGTCAAATCTTGGTAATGATATCTACAAAATTATCACTAGTTAAAAGGGTTTTTTGAGTACCAATTTAATTTGTAAATTGTATTTGTCACAGATTGATTTGAATTAGAATAATCATGAAAACCATTGAGTACACATTGGACAACTGTTTCATTAGGCCGGATTGCAAATCGACTGTAATAGGAATTGTGTCATCGAACCGACTCAGTGGTTAAGTGTTCAAACTAAATCAATCAGTGATTGAGTGCTGTTAGAGGTATGAGAGCAGTTATCACTTCCCGGTTGCCCACACTGTGGAAGGGTTCTTTTGGAGGTACCTGGAAAGGAAATCGGGTTAGAGTTGGTCTTAGTGACCTAGGAGCGTGAGCGCAGTGTCCAAGGGACAACTGATTGAGGTCGACCATACACAATCTTTTTGCGGGTAAGTCTTGTGTTAGCTCCGTACTTGTTGGGACCTTACCGCCGGAGACGGATATCCGTGGAATAAGGCGAGGTGCGCACTTCTATGGTCGACCTTTTCCAACCCCACTCTTCCTTATGGGAAGACAGCATCGCTGTCATGCTGCTTCTCTGAGGGAAACACCTAACTGTCGTCACACCTCTGTACAGTCAGCAGTAAGACTTCGCCTTTGGACCTTGGGTTTGTTGCTTTTAGTCATACCGTTCTTCAACCGACCTGTCTGGCATGGTAGGACCTTGAAGAACGATTGTTCCAGCCGGTATAGCTCGATTAGTTCATCACGATACGCAAGCCCGACCACCACATCAAGGTAGCAACAACGGTCGGGCCGAACAAAATACCTATATATCCCGAGTTTACTCGACTGAGAAGTCCTAAACCAGGATGAAAAAGCTTTCTAGTCCTCTCTGGTTTTTAATGGCACCCTGAGATCATACATAAGGTTTAAGTGATACCCATGATATTTGATAACCAGTGTCTTAATAATACAGTGTTCTAGGAAGCTCCAATTACTACTACTGTGTGATTAACCTGACGACATCGATCTAATACTCACAATAAATCAAATTAATACAGCCCAGAAACTAAGTACAAGGTTTTCCAAAACATATTTACCAAGTATAGGTTGACATGTTCTGTTTAGCGTCACAGTTAGTGTAAAGGTTAGTGCTACTATCTGGCTCTCTAAACCAAAGGGGGTGAACCAGAATCGGAACATCAGAAGGATAGTTTTAAAACCAAACATTTTAACAACTAAGGTACCGCACCACAATCAAAAGTCAGGATAATTTGAGTCCCTCATTTTAAATATGAGGAATGGGGAAATTATTGAATTGATGAAATAGTAGACGGAGCGACGTGCCACCTTAAAAGTTGTAGATCGAAAGTTAAATGCTTTAACTTCAGTGAGCCGTCTGCTCACATTTGATAGTCGAACTAAAAACGAGTTAGTTAGAAACCCATATGATCGAGTTGATGAATTAACACCAACAGCATTTTATAATAAGAGAAAGAAGGGTAAGCATTTTTATATGTAGACATGACCGCTTTCCGATAGCCTTATACTAAACTAAATCTATTCTAGACAATCATTACAATTGGTAGAATAAGAAAGACATACTGTTTTTAATTGCGCAATTTCACGTTGTAATTCAGCTGCTTGTTCTCTCATTAAACGTCGATTTTCCTCGAGTTGGGTAAATTGAATCTTGATACGTTCCAATTCTTGTATTCTGGTTTTATCTTCTTCTCGTTTCATTTTTAAGGCTTCAATTTGATCATGTAGTGTTGTTATTTCGGCGCGTAGATTAGTTAGCTCCAATTCTGTGTCTGGTGAATGAGTACCACCACCGTCGCTTGATACAACAGCAGATGGACTAACAACAGACGATCTTGGTATTTTATGAGAACTGTCTTTATGCTTAATAGATATATTTTCAAGCTCTAGTTTTTGTGAAATTATTTTAATATCACTAGCTCCTGCAATGGTTGAAACTTCAGGTATTTTGCTACTATCAGTAGTAGTCGGTAGTTTTGGATCACTTGTTTTTATAGTTGATGAAATGGTTTTCGGCAATGTATCACCACTAGGTTGAATGGATTCTTTAACAGATTTACTTTCAGTGGATTTGTTGAGAGGACTTTCACTTTTTGAAATTGGTGCTACATTACTTTGTACCAGATCTGGATTGGATCCAGTTGATGAGATCTTGAAAAAATAAAGCAAACAAAAATAGTAGTGAATATTATTGTTCTTGACCAATGAAGAGAATGGGAGACGTAAAAAATAGATTAGTAAAACAAGATTAGACGATCGTATAGATATGTTGTGGTATACCAAACATTCTAGAAATACAGTTATCGAACAAAAATACATACATACAACTAATCAGAAATAATTAACATGTTATAAATGTATGACTTATAAACTTAAAAAAAGCGAGCAGAATTAGAAAATACAAAATGATTATTAATTAGATATTTACCTAATAAAATGTAATGGATTAAACATCCAACAGTAATTAACACTTAATTTGGAACAAATCGACCATTGTCTGGAGGTATGTTCTTCGAACAGCATAAAATGCTGTTCAGAGAGAAACTAATTATGAGATTAATAAGTAGTATTGAATAAAAATAAATAATATTTGTTTCAAGTTAATGAAAATGAAGATTTGTAATAAACGAGTTACTAATCCTTAGGAAATAACCCTTGGATCATATAAGAATGGAACAGACTACTGAAATACTGATTAATAGTATTAGCTTATATTAGAAATTTTAAGGTAATTTTCATTCAATACATAGCAAGTGTTGGAGTGATCCAGAAAATTGTTTGCAAAAGACAAGCAAGCATCAGGAAACACTAGGAAGCGTTTCATCCAATCAGCGTTCACTTGAAGTTTTAGTCAAAAACATCAAGGAAGTGAAACGTCACATGCAGAGGTTTTGATTGGCTGATTGCTACACTGCTACTATGTTTAGTAGCACTCCAGAATCTTCTAATAGCCCAAGGACATTGAAAATATTATAAAAACCCTGTATTTTCTGTATTGAAATGAACTTTGGAGTAAACTACTTCTCGCATACATTGCGTCTTCTCTCGTCGCTACATAGTTCTAGCTTGGGGGTTACAGAATAGCTTAGGAGATGAATATAGCGTTCAATTCACAAGACTTATCAATCTTGCGAAAGAAAAATCACAGGAAGGTATACAGTGATGAACATAAGTCTTATTCGAGATAGTTTTCCACAGTAAATATCCATGACTTACATTTATAAATAAAACAGTAAATACAACGATAAGTTATTAAAAAATAAAATCAAGCTTATCAATAGAACAATTATTTGAATGTTATTTTAAAACGCAATAACTGTTAAAATGAACGAACAGAATACTAGTCGATAGATCAAATACAGTCATACATTATGGATGATTGATGGCTGTATCAAGAGATTGGGTTATTGAAACAACTACTCTCCCAACCCCTAAGTGATTCGATATCGAATAGATGATCCCTAACCAGAAGAACAAACGTCTACTTTAGTAAAATCGCATTATTATTTTAAAAAATATTAAATATATAAGCAGAGTTAGAAGTCGATTGAAACAGAGACCACTGAACGATATAAACTTAAATAGACCACTTAAGTGTCAATGAAGTTAAGATTTAAATATCAGGACTAATCGCTCTCTCTCTCTGAAAATGAATCAATAAAATTGACTTCTGTTTATCGTATCAATTAGTACCCCAAATTAGAAGTTAGTTTACTCAAACAGTTAATAACAAAAATCTTCTCAATTATTGGAACAGTTAGAAAAGTATTATACCATAATGAACAAGGTTTTGAGAATCAGTAAATTCAATGAATAAATACCGCTATTATTTTTTGAACTCCAAAGGTAAAAGGTCTTATTCCTTGACAAAAATTGCCTAATATGTAAGATAATGAAGTAATTATATAGTAAGAAAAAAGTGTCTATCAAGAACATTTTGGAAAAAGGATTTCATTTATACTGATCCGTTAACACAGCTAAAAGTAGTAACAGGCGTAAGTAAGCAAGTAAGTAAGTTAAACCAGCTACAATTTACCAAACTGCAAAATAAAACAATTTAAAACCTTAAGATTTTTAGGTCAAATATAACAGATTTACATTAGCGCATCAATTAGCTTTTGAGTGTACTGTTGTTGTTTTTTTTTAAGGAAGAAAAAATCAATCTTACCATACTAGGTCTCTTTAATGCAGGCTAGTGAGAAAACAAGACGTAAGGATTACGTTAATAAAATAAAGAACAAAGCACATGAACTCAGTAAGTGAAAAGTAATCCATAAGAAAAGTTCGATATGAGCATGTGTAAACAAACTAATTCATTTAATTGATTGTGATTAATATACAGTGAACAGGAAAATATAGTGACTGTGTACGATAATGACCATGACTAGAGTAGTAGAAGTATATGTAATGGATATAATTAATTCTTCAAATACTATTGGGCTGTATTGGTAACATGTGACATTATTGAAATATGAAATAAAACCACACCCCTTTTGACAAGCTAATGTTTGTTACGATGTAGTAATGCTTTATATGAATGTCTGTAAAAACCTGTCATGTGAGGAGTAAGTCGGATTTCACTCTGGTCATGGATAAATTGACTATATCTTCATCGTACGCCAAATGCTAAAACATCGCCAAAATGACTGCAGGGCAAATAAACGTTATTTTTATAGATATTATGGCTGCTTTTGATTCGTTGGACAGAACTGTAGTCTGGGTTTTTTTAATAGTGAGCCTGAGGATTTTAGCAGCATCTTCAAGGTTTTATATGGAAACACTTCATGAGAAGCAAAGGAATACGACCACCTCTCTTCATTATTCCGGCCCCCCAGTAAGATAAGATAGGATTTCCAAAGCTCACCATTCCTCTCCAACTTTACCATTGATTTGTGCAGAGTATACGTCTTTGGTGCCGATTGGTACCGTATTTTATGTGTATAAAATAAAATAAAATATATGGAGGCATAGCCTGATAGTTCGAGCAAGTTCTAAAAGCCTAGGTTACTAGTCTAATCTTGACATCATTTACCGAGGTTTAAGAGAATGAATGATGTGGTTATTCTTCCAAAAAACGTTTTAAAATAAGTGAGAAGAAAGCAAATAACTTAATCCCTTAATTAGATATTAGCATAAGACGAAGTATTTATATATGTATTTCATTCTTTAATTTCATTAGTTCCTACTGTCTTTTCCTCTCTCGTATTTATTCATCAGTGTATTACCATCGTTATTATTTTTAACCAATGACTTTCCCTCTTGGTTAATTTTCATTTATTTTCCTGCTAGTGTCGCAAATTGAATAGATATACACCATGATCAGATCCTATATTCTGTTCAACTATTTGGTCTGATTGCGATGCAATTAATAGCAATAATCGTTATTTGTTTCCCGGCAACTATTGTAGAAACTAAACACTTTCATGTATCATAATATGAATACTTTGTTTGAATTTTAAAAAATTATACTTTAAATAAAGATTTACAAATGTGTCCACAAAAATGAACTACTAAGTTGTATTGTATTCAAGTAATAAGTTGAGTGGGTATGAGTTGCAATCTAAGTATGAGAGCTAATCGCACAAATCAGCTGCCCAAGCCAAACTAGATAAGCGGGATTCGAACCAGGGACTTGGTCAAACCGTTTAATTCTTAAGCAAAAAACATGATAAACAAACTGAACGATAATAAACAAATACTTACTTGCGACGCTTTTCTGATTTCAGGTGGACCTATAAAAAATAAGTGGATAGTAGTGTAGATAGAAAAATTAGGACAGGATACACGTTTAAATATTAGTCATCAGGATTAAGGAGTTAATTATAGGCATATTATGGGTGTTAGATAATGTAAGATTAGAGCTAATGAATATGCGCGTTTCTCAACATGCACTCAACGAAAACAGAACGTACGTCTCCCCGTTGAGGCAGGTAGATTAGGCTTATCCTTCACTGATGGTGTTGAACTAGCTAAAGAAGAGCGCTTGAGAGCTGGTGACTTTAAAGTTCGTCCTGTAGATGCATGATATTAGAATTTCGTGGTAGATGGGTTAAAAAAAGGAAAGAAAAAACTTTGTAAAATATTGAAATAATATTTTAAAAAAGTCTGAAGCAACTACGACATGAAGAACTACTCAAAATGAGAGACTGATCAACAACCGTTTTGTTACAATGATAAAATCCAGCAAAACTCCACACTGCTTACCTATTTTGACATCGAACTCAGAGTTTTCGTGTGACAAAGAGACTATTTTACTTCTCGACCACAGAACTGAGATCTGATAGCTGCGTACGTGAAACTTTATCATTTCACGGAGTAAATAGAAAATCACGACTGACGGGAGATGACTAGGTTAACATTGGAGATAGATACTTGCTGAAGAAAGCTAGCGGCGGCCATATCAAAACATAGCATCAGCTCATGAAGTCACTGACAAGTAGACTAAGCCATGTTAATAGATGTAAACTACCTGGTTGGCGTCCGCATAATTATCGGGACCAATGGTTAGAGACTTTGAATGATATGGATCAAAATCGTTTGCAATGGTGTAGGTGCATCCATTATTCCCCCCCCCCGAGTTCCAACCTTCTGAATCCATCATAACTATTTTTCTTTGTATTTTCACTTCACTAAATTACGTTTTTTTAAATTGTATCACTCATACTGTTACTAACTCTACTATCCTGAAATTCGGGTTGAAAATTTCATTATTATGTAATAATGGAGTGTGTCGACTTGGACTGATGTACATACATGCCACGTTCCACGTTGTGACTGACTAAGATACCTGAAGGACGATTGAGGTTTGTGAAACAATCGCAAGAGGAGCGGTCTCTTAGTAATTAAAGGGCTCCACTTTTAGTTATTAAGCACCAGGTTCAATAATATGTTGTGTAATTTAGAGCTCGGTACACAGACATACCTGGTATATTAACCAATCGTAGGACAGAGCACTACAATGTGAGATAATTTAGCAATTGTGTCACTAGACATTTGATTGGCAACTACGACAGAATCAAACTAGTAACCAGTAATGAGATATTTATATCGGTCACATATCAACTTATAAAAGAGCGAACCAGAGTGTTTATCAATAGCATTAGGGTCGGAGAAACCAGTCCTGAAAGAATATTTTGAAAAATGGACTGCAAAATGTAATACCTTTTGCCATTTCAGGTTTTAAACTGCTGGATAAAGAAGTTGAAGAACCCGTACGTTTAGGAGTTTCACCTAATGACAACCTAGATGTACTAGATTCTGAGGTTGTGCCTGATTCTGAAAGAACGCTTGAAATAGATAAATCCATTGTGCTTGATCCATCTTGGTCATCCAGAAGAGTAAGCTAAAGGATGAAGAAAGTGGGAAAATTAGTGATTCAGATTGTCATTTGAAAATGAACCATATATTACTGTTTTCAAATAGGAAATAGGCAGAAGTACTTACTATGAAACTTCGTAAGGAAAATTTAATTAGGAAGTATTTGCAAATTAGTCTGAAGTTGTAATTAAAATAAATAAGTTAGTGATGAAGTCAAGTATCGTATTTCACTTTTGTCTACCTTTACAGTTGGTTGTTAATAAATATCTGTGGTAGACAGGACTGGAAGCGAAAACTCCGGAGCATAAGGTTTTACTGGATCTACTTGACGAAGGTCCTACAACTAATATTACAAACATGCGGAATCAATGAGATATATTCTTTAATATGAAAAAAAAAAAACAGGACGGTGCATTTTCCCGGATGTGTCCACCTTATGTTAGTGTTCTTAATAACTTGTCAGTGCTTTTGAAAACCTCTCGACATTATTGTCTGTGAAAATAATTGTCAACAAATATGATCAGATGTGACGAAAGATGACTAACAGCTAGCCTAATAGACAAGCATCATACAAGTATCAAGGGACGTCATCACTAACATGGTACTTGTGGAATGCATTTCTGATTTTCCAGAAAGTCTGCTGAATCCTATGGTAAACCTCAGTCGATAGCAAAGTCTACTAAGATATCAAGCTCATAAACACAACGAGGTAAAGCACTGCTTATTAATAACTACCACAAAATGTTATATCAGTGAAAAAAAATACTAAACAATAGCAAACTGAGAGAGCATAACAAAATGGAAAACTTTTATCACAACGGGTTATGATAAAGTTAATAAACTAGCGTCACTATCTTCTAATGACCAAATTAAGATATTTTAAATAGATCTGCAAGTGAATGAAGGTATGATAGGTGGATCGAAATGAATAGCATGTGAATTCCCAAACCCATGTTATGTAATGATACGACTTCTATGAGGCACACATTAGGTGTCGCGACACGTAATAAAAACATTAAACCTAGCATTTATGTGTAAAAAAACATTTAGAGCATCATAAGTGAAGTAATTCCAACGAAAACTAAATGAATTTTTGATACCTAATGAAGAATTTCATCGATGTGTGATCCCCTTCGAAAAAATTTAGTCAATTAGTCAAGCAAACAAATCGATAACACTAGTTTGAACTTAGGAAGTCAAATATTCCAGAAATAAAGAAAATGAATATATTGAAACTACAAAATAATAAATAAAAGCAAATGGACATCAGTAAGGCATGAAATGTTGAGGAATACGGAAGAACACGAAATATTGTACTCGATGCCGACTCACAGATTTACCCAGTAATATCTGCCCTCTCTTGGACTACACAACATAACTATTCATCCCTATAAAACTTACATTGATACCTAGCGGTGCTTAAAATTTTAATTATTCACGCCTAAAGGTCATCGATAAGTAGTGATGTTGACAGCAGTATAATCGACTATGTGGAATACGTTACGCAGTGACGACTTTGCGGAGGGTATAATAAGGCTAAACATATGTGAAAGAACGAACTTATTGATCGATTGCCTTAGTAGCTATATCCTATGAAACGGCTGCTAAGACGTTCGGGAACTAAAGGACTAAATCAAAGTTGGGCAGCATAAGTGTAAGTCTCTCGAGATATTAGAGACGAACCTGAGATGGGCGCACAAAGATCCCATGATTCTCTTCACAAGTAAAGTAGCGTTTCCCTTGGACCGTACCATTGTTTTTCCCTTTCGCCTCCTCTAGTATCACTCCTACCCATTTCCCTGAATTCAAAATAAAAAAAGGGTTGGGAATCTACCAGGAGAAAATTGTGTTGTTCCAATATATGCTATGGTACCAACAACATCCTTTCCTGTCACCTCAACGCGAGAACCGATTTTTAGCTTTCCTTCCGCCATACCAGCATATAACCTTGAAACGACCTCGAAGGGCAAAATTCCCGCTTCCCTTTTCGTTGAAGATTTTAATTTCAGATGGTTTAAATAATTACAGATAGAATGGAAGAAGCTTCCGCCTAACGTGCCTTTATATCTGGTGTAAGTAGATCTTTGGTATCGCCATGTAGGAACTTGGGGTAAACTTGGAAGTAGGGTCATCGATAACGTCATTCGATTGAAAACTGTTAGAAACCTCAACAGCACTAGCTTTATTATAGCATATTAGGGATCCTATCAGATATGGCTTGCGAAGTTCCTCGTTTCCCTGCGACTTAGTCTTCACATACAGTAATGATGCTGGCCAAATGATTTTCCTACCACCTCTAGGGAGGAGCAATCATGCAGTAATCTTATTCAAGTTCAAGGCTGAGATGACCTATCAAACTACTGCGCCGACCCGTCCTGAAATATGGGAGGCAAACATGGAGGCAATCAACTCTGCAACATCGGCCTAAAACTGGGAAATCGACTCAAGGGTATCAGTACAGGAGGCATGGACTCATTTCAGACAGTTATACAGTCGGGTAACTCGACCATGATATTCGACATTTACCAAGACAAAAGAGGATACATTTGAATAATGCTATCAGCCTTGGCACAGCAAGTACGATGGGACGTTACAGGTCGGTAAGAAAGAGGTGTATAATTAAAATCCGGGAAGCTCAGAGAAAATATGAAATGCATTTGGCACAACCTGCACTCAAGCAGCCTAAGAGACTATTCTCGTACACAAATTACAGAACAAGATGCAGCATTGGATTCTCAACCTAATTAAAGAAGGGAGTGAATCTGAAATGATAAATGAAGATCAGGAAAAAGCAGAGGCTATAACTAACTGTTTTGGGTCAGTTTTCACTCAAGAGACTCTTCTAAAGGAATAACTATACCAAAGTACAAAGTCAACAAACCGCCTGCTCACCATGAACTTTGATCAGGACGATGCACTTAAGATTCTTATCACCTTAGACATAAAAATGTCAACAAGACCGAATGAACTAAACCCCAAAATCCTGAAACATATTGCACAATACGTTGCAGCCCCATCGACTGTAATATTCAATATGCCACTTGACCAAGGTGTGTTACCGATGGACTAAAAGCATACAATCTTCGCTCTCATACAGAAAACAGGGCCAAGACAACTTCCACCAAACTGCAGACTTGCCATAATCATTACCGTGATCGTGGAAGGACGCTTAAAGTAGTCTTTGTTTAAAGTAACATAAACATATATGCATATTTTTAGAGAAATGAAGAGAAGCGTCATTACTATCTCTTCTGAGAGTAAATTGCACTGTTCACCAGTGCTCATCCTTACTTCGTTGAGCAGACAAGGTATTTTGGTGAAAAATTATATAACCTAGTCTTTTAAAGCTCATTCGGTGTGCAATTCTAAAGCATACATATTATCCTGAATAATTAGCCGTTGGCTTTAGGGTAGTAGCAAAAATCAAGGTTATATCGTCAGGGTAATGTGAAACAAGGAGGAGTACTGAGTGAGTTCATATATGAGATCAAAGATTTCTGGTAATCACTAAAATTCCGGAGTTTGCTTTATGCGTTTTGATGACTTTCGAAGCCGTATCTAATAGAAAATTCATCTACGAATGCATTCTTATGGCTTTTCTGTTGTGACTATGTTGTCGCCAGTCTGCACTCTCGTGAGAGGCTCATAAACTCTCTGTTAATATGACGAAAAAAGGACCTCGACAACTGCCTGAATAAAATTGTATCCAAAAACACCCGGAATACTGCTGAAAATGGTGTGAACATAGAAATCTAAAGATCAGTCGTCAGCTCCGTTCGTACCAACAAAATGACTGACTCATATCAAAGTGCGAATGCTACGTATAATCCCACCAAAACTTGTAACTCGATTGATTGATATTATGCTTTATTTTAGCAACAGCACTAACTACAGACACTAATTCACCACCAGTTCAATCGCATCCGTCACTGACACACGGGTACACTAAGAGTTTGATATGACAGTTAGTTGGGCGATCAATTCAATCTTCGCAGTTTTCATCCTACATTCTTACACCTGACGGTAACCACGCGAGTATTAACGATGAACCGATCCCTAAACTCACACCAACTCCAAAGTATATGCGCCAGTTAACAGTATTTCCTTGCAAACAAACAAGCCCCAATTATTTTAATATGCACCTTTCTAAAAAAAATGGGGATTAAAGTAGTTGCAGAGACTGAAAAGATGTTATTGATTAGACTTTTTCTTCAAGAAAATTGATTAAGTCACTCAGTAAAGGGAACTAATAAAATAGTTTGACATTGTAACCATTAGTGTCTGCGGATTGTGCCTTAAAAATAACCATGATGTTTGGTCTAATTTTGCTATGACTAGTGAAAGTTGTCGAGTATGCAGTTTATTCGAACAGTACATGAAATAATAACTAAATGTGTACACTAATTTGACGTTTTCTTAGTCGCCACGATTTTTCTGATATTTATATATATACAGTGTTGTGATTTTTCACTTTGTTGTTTGATAGCTGAGGAAATCGGCCTCAGAAAACAAAAATACGAGGAGGCTACAAGTATGCAATAACGGACATCTACAAACAATCTCTTACATCTGATATAACCGACAATTTTGCTAATGGTAATGGCTTTAGTTGGGATTATTAAACCCTTATTCACAGTAATTACCAGTTCTAGTTATCAACTATTCCAACTCGCTTCACTGAAAAGATTGTGAGGATATCAAAAGATACTTTGTTCAATATATAACATCCGCCTATAAATTTTCTGACCCGTGAACTAAGATATGGGACTGTGGATTACGATATATGATGATGAGGATTATCAGACAAGTACTGTATTATACTGTGTTCATATCGTATTATCTAAATTTATCAAAGTAATCAATTATTTAAATATGCAAGTGCAAGTAATCGGAAAATAGATTTCAAAACTACAAGTGATTCGAATCTTAATAATTTCCTACTTAACCTATCCTTAAATATTTTAATACATTTCATTGTTTGGTCTTTTACGTTCTATAACAAAGTAAGTTTCAGATGTGCAAATTTATGTGACCTTCGATATCATGGTTATTACTCTTTAGCATCTAATCTCGTAAGATTTTTGTCTCTGTACGTTGCTACGAAATGTTGAAAAATCTTCAATAAGAAAAATTATGATAGCAGTGACGACGATAAGGATCAGTTTTATGAGAGGCTGCGGTGGATCATAGCGAAGTGCTCAGGAGAGACCTAAAAGACAAAGTCGGAATGAACAACACCGGGTATGAATATATCATGGGACGACATGAACGGAGGAATGAGAGAAATGAACGAAAAAGAGAACAGATTTGCAAGTTTATATGCATCCAACTAAATGGTTGTAGGCAACACAATATTTTCACACAAACCCACACACAAAGCCATGTGGGTCTGACTGGTTCACAGAATCATACAGATCATATTCTCATCACTAAAATATGAAAAACGTCAATGGAGGACGTGAGAACCAGGAGAGTAGCTAACATAACTTTAGATCACCAGTAGCTGGTGGTTAGCAAGATGAAACTGAAGTTAACGAAGCACTGGAAAACTGGGGAAACAGCATTAGAAAGGTTCAATAGAAACTTCCTTCCTAGTACTAATAAACTCAACGAATTCAAGATAACTTTCAACAAAAGGTTCAAAGCTTTACAGGATCTACTGAGAGAAGGAAAACTACTATGGAGGACAATTGGAAAGGGGTCGAAAAAACATTGACTTCAACGTTTCAGGATGTTCTGGACCGCAAGAAACATTGTCATAATGAATGGATCTTTATCGAAACCCTACACAACATCGAAAAAAAGAAGACAGGGATCAACAACAGTCGAACAAGAGCAGTGAAAGTCAAGGAACAGACTGAATACACAGAAGCAAACAAGCAAGTGAAGAAGAATGTAAGAGTTGACAAGAAAAAATACGTGGAAGAGCTAGCAACGATAGCAAAAAACGCCCCAAGAGAAGGGAATATGAAACAGCTATATAACACAACGAAGAAACTGGTAGGAAAATAAAGCAAACCAGAGAGACCGGTCAAGGACAACGAAGGCAGGGACAGAGAAACAGATGAGTGGAACACTTTGAGGAACTCTTGAATAAACCAACTCCATTGAATCCACTGGATATCGAACACCACGCACAGATATTCCTATGGATGTCACTCAACCAACTACAGAACAAATCAGCATAACCATCAGGTAAACCAACAGTAGAGAAGCAGTAGGACTTGATAATATACTACGTGAAGCACTGAAATCACACATAGAATTAACTGCAAATATGCTCCACGTCTTTTTGAGGTAGATTTGGAAAAGAGAACAAGTGCCACTGACAAACTGGTAAAAAGCAAATCGTTCCAAGATGCCGAAGAAAGGAGATCTGAGCAAGTGTGAGAAATACAGAGGCATCACACCACTATCAGTACCACCAAACGTTTTCAACAGTGTTGCTAAACCGGATGAAAGATTCAGTAGACTTCCAGTTTCGAGATCAACAAACCGGATTCCGTAAGGATCGGTCGTGCACAGAATAAATCGTGACACTACAGATCATCGTTGAACAATCAATTGAATGGAACTCGTCACTATACATCAACTTCCTTGATTTTGAGAAGGCATTTGACAGCGTTGAGAGCCGAACCTTACTTGACAATATTGTGTACCTGAGAAGATCGTCAACATCATACGACGGACTACAGTGTAAAGTTGTGCATGGAAGACAGCTGACAGACACATTCCAAGTGAAGACCGGTACCAGACAAAACCGTGTATTGTCACTCTTTCTCTTTCTTCTAGTTGTTGATTGGATTATAAAGACCTCGACATCAAAGGGAAGCACAGAATAATATGGATAGGTTGGATGCAACTAGACGATCTGGACTTCGCAGATCACATAGCTGTTCCATCTCATACACACGAACAAATGCAGATGAAGTTAGCCAATATAGCAGCTGAAATATAAACAAAGAAAAAAGCGAGATA